GGAAAAGACCGTCATGGACAGAGTCAAATTTGTACAGTCAGAAAGGCTATGCTTTGGCTGTCTCAAGCCAGGCCATCTCTCAAAGGGCTGTGACAACAGAAGTGTCTGCGAAAGGTGCAATAAAAGACATCCTACCTGCCTACACGAGGAGCGTGGCAAAGCAGCACAAAACTCATCACAAACCCAGAAAACCGTAAATAAAGAAAGACCAAACCAAAATTCCCTTCCTCTAACACAAGAAGAAAAAACCACAGCTACAACAAACAGAGTCATACGTCAAGACGGTAACATGCACAGTGCAGCAATAATTCCTGTTTGGCTTTCGTCTTCAAAACAACCTACACAAGAAATCCTTACATATGCCTTATTGGACTCTCAAAGTGATACGACCTTTGTTCTCAGTGAAGTTGTGACACCTCTAGATATCACTAAAGAACCAGTCAAGTTAGAGTTGTCAACCATGACATCAAGAGCCATAGTTGTCCAGTCTCAAAGATTACACGATCTACAAGTTCGTGGCTTCTACTCAAGCAAAAGGATTAATTTACCATCAACTTTTACGCGAGAGTTCATCCCAGCCAACAAAGATCATATTCCAACAAATGATACAGCAAGGGCATGGCCACATCTTGAACATCTTCAAGCAGAAATTGCTCCTTGGCAAGAATGTGAAATCGGACTTTTAATTGGATATAACTGCTCACAAGCATTACTGCCAAGGGAAATCGTGTCAGGTAAAGAAGATGAACCTTATGCTCAGCGTACGGATCTCGGCTGGTGCATAGTTGGACAAAGCAATCCAGGATTGGATTTTGGAGATGCTATTGGTATGAGTCATCACATCATTGTGAAGAAAGTCACACCAGATATCAATCCCTCTGTTGATCTTCAAAGCAAAGTTCATTATGTGAACAGAACTAAAGTAAGAGATATCACTCCTTCTGAGATCGTCAAGGCACTGGAGTTGGATTTCTCAGAAAGGACCATTGATGACAATCGAATGTCTCAAGGAGATCTTAAATTTCTCTCAAAACTCAGAGAAGGCATCAAATACAATGAAAGTGGTCACTATGAAATGCCACTACCATTTCGTGATGAACGACCTAATTTGCCTGACAACAAAGTATGCTCAATGCATCGTCTGAAATGTCTGGAGAGGAGATTAAGAAAAGACAAAGCATACTGCAACGACTATATCAAGTTCATGGATGATATAATCTTTCGAGGTGATGCAGAAAAGATCCCTGAACAAGAGCTAGACAACAGTCCTGCATGGTATATACCACACCATGGGGTCTATCACCCACACAAACCGGGGAAAATCCGAGTGGTGTTTGACTGTTCAGCTAGGTATAAAGACACATCCCTCAATGACCATTTATTAACAGGTCCAGATTTGACAAATACATTGGTGGGCGTTCTCTGTCGTTTCCGTAAGGGGTCCGTTGCATTCATGTGCGATATTGAGCGAATGTTCCACCAATTCTATGTGAAAAGAGAAGACCAGGATTACCTACGTTTTCTATGGTGGGAGCAAGGAAACCTGGACACACTACCATCAGTTTACCGAATGAAAGTTCACTTATTTGGAGCAGCATCATCCCCTGGCTGTGCCAATTTTGGTTTGAAACATCTAGCAGTACAAGGACAAGACCGGTTCAAGGAGAATGTCATTAACTTTATTCAAAGAAACTTCTACGTAGACGATGGCTTAGTAAGTGTTTCGACAGAGAGTGAAGCTATTCAACTTGTGAGAGACTCAAGAGAGCTCTGCGCTACAGGGAAGTTAAGGCTCCACAAATTTGTGTCAAACAGTGAAAAGGTAATGACATCCATTCCTGAGGAAGAGCGTGCAACAGTAAGCAACCAAGACATGTCCCTAAGTTTGCCACACATAGAAAGAGCTCTGGGAGTTGAATGGTGCATTACATCTGACACATTCAAGTTCAGAGTACAAGTTAAAGCTAACCCATTAACAAGAAGAGGTGTACTTTCCACCGTTGCCTCAATCTACGATCCCCTAGGCTTCCTTGCACCATTTGTCCTTCTAGGTAAGCAGATTCTTCAGCAAATGTGCAGAGATAAGGTGGATTGGGAAGAAGAACTTCCAGAGTATCTGAAACCTCAATGGGAGTTGTGGATCAAAGATTTACCGGGATTAGCGGATGTACAAATCAATAGATGTTTCACTCCATCAGGGTTGGGACGAGTCAAAAGCTATGAGCTTCACCATTTTGCAGACGCTAGTGTCTCTGGATATGGCGAATGCACCTACCTGCGAGTGACTAATCATCAAGATCAAGTTCACTGTTGTTTTCTGATGGGCAAATCAAGAGTCACGCCCAACAGTGTCCTGACTATCCCAAGACTCGAGTTGTCAGCTGCAGTTGTTGCAGTTAGAGTCAGTGATCTCCTACGAGCTGAATTGGAAATCCAAGACCTACAAGAGTTTTTCTGGACAGACTCCACGGTTGCCCTTGGCTACATAAATAATGATGCCAGAAGGTTTCAAGTGTTTGTAGCTAATCGCATTCAAAGAATCAAATCCAGTTCGACATCAGACCAATGGGCTTACATCAAGTCAGAGGACAATCCAGCGGATCATGCTTCTCGTGGTTTAACTGCAGAACAACTGAAAGCATCCAACTGGTTTACAGGACCCAAGTTTCTCTGGCAAGAGAGATTACCAGAAAGAGATGTTAGGGTGGGAGAGATCAAGGAAAATGATTCCAACCTCCGCAAAGCGTTTGTTTGCAGTATCAAAGCAAAGGAAGAGAGAACAATGCTAGATCGCTTTAAGAAGTTCTCAGATTGGTCCAGATTGATCAGAGCTCTTGCAATCTTAAGACGAAAGATCAAGGAATACAAAGGTACGACACAAAACACAAAGGGATCAACAAGTTTGGAAGAAAGGAAAGAAGCTGAACTAGTAGTCATCAAGCTTGTTCAAGCAAAGGCATTCTCAAAGGAGATAAAGAGTTTGCAAGCACAGAAAGCTGTTACAAAAACTAAAGACAGTAAACTCTACAAGTTAAGTCCGTTTCTGGAGGAAGATGGTATCCTCAGAGTCGGAGGACGTTTGAGTCAAGCTGTACTCCACCCTTATGTGAAACATCCAGCAATACTACCAAAAGACAGTCATATATCCACTTTGCTCATTAGACATTTTCATTTGAAAATTCAGCATCAAGGACGTGGGATGACGATCAACGAACTGCTGGCTAATGGATGGTGGATCCTTTGATGTAGCCATGCAGTCTCATCTTTCATCTTCAAATGTGTCAAATGTAGGAAGTACAGGAGAAGTACTGAAGTACAGAGAATGGGAGATTTACCTTCAGACAGGACGGAACCGACTCCACCTTTCACTTATGTTGGGATGGATTGTTTTGGACCGATATACGTCAAGGATGGACGTAAAGAGTTAAAGAAATATGGCTTGATACTAACCTGTTTATGTTCACGAGCTATCCACATAGAAGTGGTAGATGATCTGAGTACAGATGCATTTATGAATGCTTTGAGAGCTTTTATCGCCATCAGAGGAAATGTTCGGCAGCTGAGATGCGATAAAGGATCCAATTTTGTTGGCGCTCAAAGAGAGTTTGCAACCTTGATGAAAGGCATGGATCAAGAAAAGATCAAGGCATTTGGCTGTGAATTCCTGATGAATCCTCCCGCAGCAAGTCATATGGGAGGGGTGTGGGAAAGACAGATAAGGACAATAAAGAGTGTTCTTTCTGCTATCCTTGACCAGTCAGCTAGAAGGCTAGACACCACTTCATTGAAGACGTTCTTGTATGAGGTTATGGCGATCATTAACAGTAGGCCACTTTCTGTGGAACATCTGAGTGATCCTACTGGACCTGAACCATTAACACCTAATCATATTCTAACTATGAAGTCAACCATTGTTCAACCTCCACCAGGGCAGTTTATTAAAGAAGATCTATACCTTCGACAGAGATGGCGAAGAGTACAATACCTAGCCAATGAATTTTGGGTCCGATGGAGGAAAGAATATTTACTCAACTTGCAAACAAGACAAAGATGGTATGCACCTAGAAGAGACTTGAAGATCAATGATATTGTTCTAGTTCAAGATGATTTTGCTACACGCAACAAATGGAAAATAGCCAGAGTCACAGATGTTTATCCTGGGGCAGACAATAAGGTGAGAAAGGTTAAACTCTTGGTTAGTGAGAGTACTTTTAATAAACATGGCAAACATACGACTAAGACAACTTCACTTGACCGACCTATACACAAGGTTGTTGTTTTGCTTGAAGCAGAGTGATGTTAACTTTGTTTTATGTTTAGACTAAAGTGTTGGTTTAGTTATTAAAATCCCACTTGAAGATTGTGAGATTTGGTGGGAGTGTAACTGTCAGATTTATTTTCTCTTTTATCTTTAAATGGTTTTACTGTTTATTACTTGTAGTTTTACATGCCACCTGCAGATGGTGCTATAAAGTATAAAAGGTAGCTCTACCCGGTCAGAGGTTATAGGTCGGAGGGGAATAATGCAAAAACGTTAACATACGCACATCGGTTAAGAAGGATGTGGACGAAGTAAGCCTAATTTCTTTTGATAAGCACACAGCCAAAGAGGTATGTGTATGTTTTATGTTTGTATTTTGTTATTTAAAGAATGTATAAGCGATTAATATAGCGATTCGCCTCAAGAATGAATTGTAACTTTGTTTATGTATCTTTAGTTTTCACGTGTGGAATAAATTCACCAGTTCGAGGAAACCACTTGCGTCTGTACGTGCTTCAGGGAAATTACACACTGTGACTGATCCGCATCTGAGTCCTTTTCCCGCACTCCATCCTCAGAATAAGCTAAGAAAACCTGCAGGATTTCAGCTCTGTATTACAGTTGGCTACCCTTTAGACAGCAGATGGCAGTGGTCACATACTGATGAATGTTTGGCTAGGAAAGTGCGTTTAATGTGCCTTGAGAGCAAATAAACTGATTTGCCATTTACTCACACACAGCTATTACAGCTGCCACTGAAGTTTGGAACTCTGCAGTGTGGAAAGTAAGTTGGATATCGGTCAGCCCAGGGAGGGAGGCATATTGGGTGTGTTATGCCTTAGGCCTTAGGCAAGAAGAGATTGCAGGAAGGGATTTGAAGATACCCCAACAGTTGTAGTCATAGAGTAGTCATAAGATGTCATATGTAATATGTTGCATAGTAGTTCAAACACATAAGTAGTTATCACATTAATCATACATTAACAATGTATTCACAATAAATTAATATTTACATTCATATCTAAAGTAGAAGTCTAGTAGTCAAGACATGTTTTGGGAAATTGAGCGAAATGTACCCTGCTACCAATGTGGACCAATATAGGTGGAGAATTACTGCATGTTTGGTGTTTGTTGGTGTTGTGTGAACAATTAGGACTTAGAAGTCCTTATAGGGAATTGGGTGTTATGGTTTTTCAGCTGGTTGCTCTTTGTGCTCGGGGTACCTGGTGCCAGAGTGAGATTGGAGTGCAGTGATGGATTGCCTGAATAATGGAGAAAACTTTGCTCACCAAAGTTGGAGGTCTGGAGTGTTTATTCTAAGTGGCTTAACTAGAGCTATTAAAAAGGTTGATTTCAATTTCTCTTCCACAGCAGTTACTGAGTCAATAGAGCGTTGGCGCCATTTATGCTCTATATGCCTCAGCACTCAGAGACCCCACTGTGTTACTTTATGTGATCTGCCACTTTGTGGCTGAGTGTCTGTTGTCCTTAAACGCTTCCACTTTGTAATAAAAGCACTTGCAGTTGAGTGTGGAATATCTAGCAGGGAAGAAATTACACAAACTGACTTCTTGCAAAGCTGGCATCCTTTGACAGTGCCACAGTTGAATTCTCTGAGCTCTTCAGAACAACCTGTTGTTTCATAAATGTTTTAAATCTGACTGCATGGATAGGTACTTCATTTTATACACATTATAAAGTCTGAATGGATCTGAATGGAACACCTGATTTAAATTGTTGAGAAGTGTGTCCCAATATTTTTGTCTATACTTTTGTTTGTATCATGTAAGTATGTAGATCAGAATGATTACTTAAATTCCTGTGTGAACCAGCCAATCAGATCAGCCTGATGTGTATCTTGTACCTCTCTGTTTCCTGCCCTTTCATCCCGACCACGACCATGATCTCTCACTTAGCAGCAGAGCAGTTTATTCTACACAAGTGGAACCACAAAGATGTTCAAACTCTTTGCTCTTCTCATTTTCATTAGTAGGGTCCTAAAATGTAAAATTATAATTTTTTTATAATAAGTATTTGGGAATGTAATCCTCATCATAGTTAATAGTTATTTTACTGTTATGATGTATGTTATGTTTATTTCTTGTTTTTCTGTTTTTCCAGACACTGCGCTGGCTGTGGATGTTGTTCAGCCCAGTCTCCTGATGAGGGTTCAGCTTGGAGACAGTGTGACCCTGACATGCTTCTGTTCAGAAGAAACAACTTTTGTTGCTTGGTTCAAGCAAGCTGTTGGTCAGAAGCCCCAGCTCATGGTGAAGGCACTTAATCTTTTATCTGGTGAATTTTACAAGGAATATAAAAACATAAAACGTTACTCCTTACAGAATGCAGAGGGGAGTTTTAACCTCAGTATTTCCAACACGGAGCCGTCAGATTCTGCAGTGTATTATTGCATTGCTGGGTTCTATGATGAGATCGCATTTGGAAATGGAACCTTTGTCATAATCACAGGTAAATGAGGCTCCAACTATTTTAATATTTGCTTTTTTAATAGTGTCACTAAGATTATTCCCTGTAAAACATGCCAATATAAAATGGTTTATGTAGATTGTGTGCTTTGCTCCAAAAATAATTCAAAAATGTAAAAAGAAATTTTGCAATTAGAATGATAATGTTTTTATTGTTATTATAGACATAAATAGCTGAAATATATAAACAATATGTGAACTGGATTTTATCTATACCGCTTTATCCATCTGGGTCGCGGGACAGTCTATTATTTAAACATGAATTAGACATTAACATTGTTCTGTATCATTGTTATAAATTGTCATCTTATTCAGAATTTAAAAATGCAACATTTGAGGTGTTACCTAGAATAATAATTAAACTGTCATTTTGTGTACCATGGTGGATCTGCTCATAGGAAAAGCTGAGTGTCTCTCCTTAAAAGTTAGTGTTGGCTGCAGTAACTGCAGTTTCTAACCTAAGAAACGTCCCAAACTCTTTTACTGCGTCAAAAGTTAAACTGGTCCCTATTC